AATTTATGGCCTTGAAGTAACACATTTTGATAGGAGGAGGAAACTGAGCTGACAAGAATGGCTCAAGAAAGAGGAGGCTAGAGTAGCTCTTCAAATGCTGGGTCATAACAGGCTTTTTCCTGTACAGGACCCCAGAAACATTTCTCAGCCTAAGCTGAGCTTGTGTTTATTTAACTTTACTGTGACATTTCTTCCTGCTTCTGAATTTGTCAATAAAATCTGGTTTTATTTAAGATAACTTGTGTATGTCTTGGATTAAACAAACAAACAAAAAAACCCCTGTACTTTTTCCTTTGGTGGAGTGAGTAGGACTCAGGCAGTTTATAATGGCCTTGTGGTTGGGTAGTTCATGGGAGAAGTTTATGATAGTCTCCCTGGATATGACCACGGACTCCCAAGAGTTATTATCAACAAAGGAGAAGGTAATGATAGAAATATTGAATGTATCACTTACAAAGAAAATACGTGTCTGTTATGGGGCTTTAGTCTAAGTTAAATTTGACTTTGCAATGTGGAATGTTCTGGATCGTGTTGGGAGCAGGAAATGTATCATCGACGTGCTGGTTTAGTTTCCACATTACAACTTCACCTTTCCTATAGGTTATGGTTTCTACTTTTCACTCAGTAAGAAACAGAGTTTATGTTAAGATCCTGAATATTAAATGGTGAGAGCCAATTGAACACTGTGCATTTTGTAAAGCTGCTAATATTTCAATGTCAGGGCCAACTGGATTTTTACACAAAATACTTATCTTGAACCACGTGACTGTAAAATTCAGAGTTGGTGGGTCTTGGTGGGCCATACAGCAAAGAGCCATGGTTGCTTTAAATAGTACATGTGGAATATCCACAAATCATATTACTTAGATTTCATGGGAAGAGATTATTATTATTTTTAGTCTTAAAGGAGCCCTTTGAGTTATAGAACAGCCTGTGAAATACAAGTCAGGATGAGATTTTCAGGGCAGTCACAGCTGCAGAAAATTCTGGCAACTTCTCCTGAGGAGAAAAATATTCATGTGATTTCAGGTTTACGTTATTTTAGGAGAGGTAAGTATTTCAGTTACCAGCCCATTTGTAACAAGAATTTTGTGTGTTAAACAGGAAAAAGTGTCCTGTCTTTGGGGATCATAAGTTCCCTGTGCTTGTGTCAAGAGTAACACTCACAAAATCTATGTGCTGCCCATCCATTAGTAGTAAGATGGAAAACGCAGCAGTGTTAGTATAGCTGTACTTTACTTTCTGACACCACTACTTGTACTTGTTATGCTTGTGACAAGCAGTTGGTCCTGTTGGACTGAGTCAAGTAGCAGGTAGTCTCTCTGCCTCAAAGACTTTCCGGTCTAATTGGATCAGGCTACTGGCAAGGAGGATATCATGCACAGAGTTAACAGTATCTGGTACAAGATTAAATTTTCCTGTTTGGTGTGTGGTTTTTTTTTTGTTTGTTTGTTTTTTGTTTTTTGTTTTTTGTTTTTTGTTTTTTGTTTTTTGTTTTTTGTTTTTTGTTTTTTGTTTTTTGTTTTTTGTTTTTTGTTTTTTGTTTTTAGGTTTGGTTAGGAAATGGTAAGTCAACCGGAGTGAAACCCTCAAAGAAGGCAAGGTTAGGTTCTGGGGAGAAAACCATGCAAGGGTGCTATTGCAGAGTATGACTGAGGAAGGAGCAGTGGGAAAGAGATTCAGAACAAGCAGCGGACGAGCACATTGTTGAGGAAGTCCTGCCAAAATCTGGTTGCTCTACGCTCTCTGCTTTGGCAGCTTCTGTAGCTGCTCCTGCTGTCTGGGTTTTCTGGCTTGTTCTTCCCCAGCAGTTTTTCTTTAGACAGTATGGCTGGGGAAAAAGCAACGCCTAAATCCTTGCGCTTTGAAAATTACATGCTCCCTTACATATGTGTTGATCCAGGACAGTTCAGTAAGGAGGAATGGTCCTGTCTGAGACCTTTTTGATTTTCTTGGTCTCCCTTTATTTGCAACGAGTCCTGAACCTTGCCATTGTCTTGCCTCACTCAGGGCTGTGATACTACAATTTATGCATCAATCCTAGCCTTTGGAGCCCCATTCTATTGCTTTCACCCATTATTTTTTAACAAAGTATTCTAGACTACAAAAGCTCTGGAAATGTTGAGTTGTGTTTCTTTTTCTAAAATGGAATTTAAAGCAATTTATTATATACCCTATCTCCGAATATATTTTTGCCACTTCTGCTTTTTTATGTTGCTTTGTGAATGACCCCATAAGAGAAACAAACAAAACAGATGGAAAATAATGAAACAAGCAAGATGCAAATTGCCATCAAAGTATGTAACATAAATTAGCTGGGGCTAGACATTTCCTTAAGTATATTGTATAGTATTCCTAAGTGTTCAAACTGACAATAATATCTAAAATGCATTATGTATATGTGCTGCCAAAGGATGAAAAATAGCTAAATTATTGAGTTACTTTTGAGTTGCCTGCTGAAGTGTATTGGCCAATATAGCCGTTCAGTCTGGCTGTTGGCTTGAGGCTTTTTTTCTCTTCAGAACTTTTAAATACTCTAAATATTCTGTTGCTTCTTTTTTTTTTTTTCTTTTATTCTTATGAATTCTTTCTTAGAAGTTGTGCCTTAGCACAGTATAATCTTTTGTGGTACTGTGCTGACTTTGCACATTTCTATACTGTGCAGGAGTTTTGAAGTACATGATAAACTACTGTGCTTTCCAATGCATGAGATGTCTTGTACTTTTCTGTGTAAATGGAGATACACAATTATGTATATAACCTGCCCACTGAAGTATGTAATAATTGATATGATAGTTGAATTCAGACCAGTAACTTAAAAAGGGTATAACTACCTATTCCTGCGGTCACTTTGAACTTGAATGTGAGAGAGCCTGATTTAAGATCAAGTGAATACATAACCGAATGGAGGTATGAATTACTGCAAATACTTGTACCTTTAGAAGGATACCCATCTCTTAATAACAAGTTCTGTTGATTAAAATTTTATATCCTATGTTTGATATTAGTTCAGACATTGCTATTTACTGTTGCATGTCTGATTATTGCTAATATAGATCAGATAGATTACATGGCATTTTTTTTTTTATGGCAAATTACAGAGGAAAAAACAGAAATACAGTTGTGGTGGGATGATTCGGTCCACTTGAAGTTGACCAGGACACACAATGGTTGCTGAAAATAACGAAGTGAAGTATATTACAAGTTTTGTCTTATAAATATTTGTGTATTGGGAACAGCAAAGTAATAGTATGTTATTACTGCAGATTCATGAGGTCTTATAGTCTGTCAAAGTAGTCATTAAGGGAATGAAAAAGTAAGGAAAAATATTACAGAATGCTTTCAGGTTTGTCATAGAAACAAGAGAGTCAAAATACTGCAGGAAGCAAAGGAAATTGGCAGCATGTTTGAAATTTGCTCTTATCTAAAATGAAATATGGGAAAATAGAAGGAATATCCTCAGTAAAACTAGTGACCATGTAAACATACTGTATATCATGGTATAGTATGCTGCTGTGTATGTGGAATTTCTAATGGCAAGTGAAATCTTTATTGGTATTTTTGGGCCTTAAAGATGAGTAAATGAAAAAAAGGTAGAATAGCAAATTTTCTTAATGAGATGCCAACATACTTGGGCTATGGAGTAGCCACTCCTGCTGATTATTGTCATGTAAGTGTAGAACTGCTTGAGCAGGGACTGCGTAAAGAAGGAAGTGTGCTGCTTATCACGCCTTATTACACATCAGAGCTTTTGCTCTTGCATGTTTCCTGTAATAAACCTTTGAAAAGTGTTATGAAGAAACACTGGAATAAGTGGGTGATGAACAGATAATCGGGTGTTTACTCTGCAGGGAGTTTAAAAGGCCTTACTATATAGGCCTGTCAGTTGATTGAACCTTCTGAAATGGGTTATGGCAGAAGGAACATTCAGCATTAGCAAGGCACTTGCTGTTAGTAAGGGCAGCTGTAGAAGACAGTTTAGAGCTGCAATTCTGAAAAGAGAGAGACAGACTTCTGTGGTTTCAGTGGTTGTGAAAATCAAGATGGCATGCATTTAGTGATGAACTATGAAAAACAGACTACTGATTTAAGGTAAGAAAACAATAAAGCTTGTCTTTACTGCTGTGAAGTCATATAAAGAATGTACAATATTTTACTGGAAGCAATTGTTACAATTTAAACTGAATAATTTTTTTCATCACTTTATCTTTGAGGAATTGGTGGAGAAGTGCATTTTCTGCATAGAAAACGTAGTATCTGTTGATAATATTAGGATTGTTATAATTGTACTTTTAGGGTTTTAGTAATGGTTACAGTCCTGCTTCTTGGATTCTTCCTCTTCAGTTGTTAATACACCAACCCTTATGTTTCCTGTTCTGAGGCACTGCCTGAATTTATGCTAGTGCAGCTGTAATTTTACCTGATCTTCATCTGTTTCCTTATTGGTTTAAGGTTAATGTCTACCTAAACGTTTAGTCATCAATGATATTTTCCCATTATATTTTTTTATAGTGGCAAACTTACCATGTTAATGAATGATAGAACTAGAGTTTGATGTTTCCCAGCAAGGTGAGGAACATCAGATAGCAGCAGTAGAGTTTTCCTGTACCCTGATGTACATGTGGAAGGCCAACTTAGTAGCTGTAACTCATGTCCTTGTTGCTGGAGCTTTCAGTGATGGTGTATCAGTATTGATGTTGCTTGTGGGGCACGTGTCAGATGAATGTTGTTTTAAAAGGCTTTTCAAATAAAAAATGTAAGTTTCTGTCCTGGTAACTGCAGCTGGATGAAGAAAATCGTTGGTTCTAATAAGATAGTTTATGGGAAACATTTAGATTTTTAAACCACAAACAATTACCTGTAATAGTCCATTTAAACCTGTAAACTTATTTTAATTTCATGTGGTTTTGGCCATCATAAACAGAACAGACAAGTAATTGCAAAAGTGACTTTGCTATGGTTTCTTTTGACTCATGGTGGTGGTTGTTGTTGTCGTTTAGGAAACCTGAATTGACTGACTCTGCCTCTCTGCTAGAGACCTTCAAATTTCTTGAAAATGCAGCTGCAGACTTCAGTGATGAAGAAGATGAGGAAGATATTGAAGGACGAGAGAAAACAATCATTGATACCGCAACAGTGAGTGGAAAAAATAATAGAAAAAGTTACGAAGAACAGAAAAAGTGAGATTAATGAGATGCCTATATGCAAAGTATATGACTGTGTATGTACACGTGCAAATCATTAATGCATCTTTACGATGGTCTGTCCAAGCATGTGTGCATAAGAGGAATTATATATGCATTTCTGAGTTTGTGCATATAAGTTAAGCTTTGTCATCTTTATTGCTTTAAGTTTACAGTGACAGATTAAAATTTTTTAAATTCTTTCTACTACTCCGTACTGCCTAATATTATTGATATATATTGGATATCTTAAGGTAGCAGATGCCCTTTTTTGTACAATTTTCAGCGTAGTTTGAAGGCTTTGTTTATAATGTTGCGTGTCAAAAATGCATTGTTTCTTGAATATTTATATAGATCTGTTGATATTTAAAATTACTTGTAGGAGTTTGTCCTTGAAGGTACAGAACTGAAATGCCATGTTTCTCTTTAAATAGCTTGTGGAAGGAAGAAAAAGTATAACTGGAAAAACTCTAACATGTGGTCAATAAACTTTTTTGTTTGTTTATTCAGTCAAATGCCTGAAACTCCCTTATGATGTATACTTTGCCATATGATTACATAAAATAGATACATACAATCAGTACTCAATTTTATCCTCCTTTCAAAATTAATATTTATTCAGTGTGTCGTGTTTTCTAACATCTGAAGGAGATAAGTGTTGTGATGGATGTTTTGTTTCTATTTTCATGAATGAACACTTAAAAAACCATCAGTTTTAAAGAGTTTTAAAAGAGGATATTTGTAAACTTGTTCCTGTCCTCCATGGATTGTGAACTAATGTCTGAGACTGTTCTGTAAAATCATCTGTAATACAGTATGTTCAGGAAGTCTGCCAAAGGAATGAAGCTTGAAGTTTAGAATTGTTTCAGGTTTTGAAATTAGTTCATGATATTTAGAGAAAATGGTCATTCATCCTCATGAACTGTGGGATTTGGCCTATGTATTGGAAGTTTTTTTCAGCCTGACCCTTAGCAAGGTTCCAAATCAAAATATTGTGATGAATATAATTTTTTCTTTTTCTGTAGGAGTAAAATTTATACTATGGGTTTCATGTATCATGGCATGAGCTCACCTGTTAGTCAAATAACTGTAAAGCATCTAGTACATTTTAATAAGTGAGGGAGAAGTAAATTTACTGCAGAAAGCATATTATGATCCTTCATTAAAATGTGTATTTTTTCTTTTCCAAAAATTGGTAAGGTTTTTTTACGAAATTTTGCTTTTGAACTTGAAAGGGAAATGCAGTTTAAAATGGAAGTACTGTGTTTAAGTAACAGTAGCATCTGAGGGAGTATTCAAGATGAAATGATTTCTGCCAAATCTAAGCAAATTAGCTCTTGTTGGTTGGTTGTGGGATTTTTTTGGTTTTTGTTTCTAGACTTGTCTTTTGGTCCTCATGTAGTGTGATTTCAGAGGTGAGAGTTGAAAAGGCTATTTTCAGAGAAGCAGAGTGAGTTTGGTTTTATTGAAGTCCTTTCTACAGCATTTGTAGGTTGTGGGTTTTGTGTGTTTTTTGGTGTTTTTTTTTAAAATCTTTGTTAAGAGAAAGTTTGTACCTTTTCTGGTATTAAAAAAACTAGTAGTGATCTAGAACAGTGTAGATACATTATCAAGTGATTGACTCTTCGTGGACACAGGACAAATTTCATTTTGACTTAGAAATTTGCTTATTAATGTATGCTTTTCTGACTTCCTCTGCAACTTCCTGTTAAGATTTCGCATAGAAGACATCACATGAAGATGTGCATGTAATTTAATTCAGCTTTTTTCTCTCCTTCCCGACTTTTCAGATTGTAAGGAAAAGAGTGCTATCTGACAGCAGTGAAGACAGAGATACAGAAGAAGCTTTGAAAGAGTTTGACTTTTTGGTTACCTCAGATGAAGGTGATGGGGAATCGAGAAGTTCAGGAGATGGAACAGATTGGGGTAAGGATTGTACCAGGGGAAAAAAGGTTGCACTAAGAATATATTGTGATTTATTGATTGACTGAAATCTCTGTCACAATCACAGCACCTTTTGAGTATTCCTGCAAAAAATAATTGGCAGACTGAATTCCTCTTGATGCAATATTCTAATTTTTCTATATACTGCTTTAGTGTAAGGATTCTTCAAGTTTTATGTATTTGGTCATTGTCTTTTTCCCTTTTCTTTAGTAATACGGCAGAGAGAGTTTAAATTTTGTGCGTGGAATTTCAGTGTGTTTTTCCTGTGCCCTCTGCTAATGAACGGCTCTGATAAAGCTGTATTTTACAATTATGAACATGAAAGTTATTTTGTCCTCTTTGCCTTCTCCCATTTTGATACAGAGAGTAACATGAGTCATAAAGACCGACTTAGTTGTACTCTTACTGTGTGTTAGCACTTTGGGCAATATGAACTATTCAATTGCTCAAATTTTCTTTATTGATTTATCAGAAGAATATAGCTTTAAAGCCACAAAGTAAGAGTGACATTTCACAAACTGTTCTCTGTCCTTTGAGATTCATGTCCTGCAACCCAGAATGCCAGCATCCACTTTACCTTGATATAATTATTCCACATAAACCCACTGCATAGAGAAGGGAGGAGGGAAGAGAACTGGCTAAATATCTTGATGGGGAGTTGTTTCCTCCTTAAGCTGCTCTGGAAAGTCTTAGGCATAAGTGGACACAGAGGGAAGATGGAATGAGAAGTAATTGAGCTTTATAATGGAAGTGAAACCTTGACAGACAAATAAGCCATGGCAGCTGTGGCTGCTTCATGAGCCAATCGCTCCGAGATGCTGTATTTCACTGGAGCCACGTCCAGCTCATGGCTGGACTCAAAATTATTGTTCAGTGTGGTGTAGCCTCTCTGCTTAAGAGAATGCATCTCAATATCATTAAATACAGCAGTCAGTATTCTGTGCACCAAACAAATTTAGCAATGTTACTCTTTTTTATGATAAATATTTTGTTACGTTGTTCTGATACTCCTATTTAGTACTAAAATTGTATGCATTTATGCTGATAAGTGTAGGTATTGCTTGTGTTACCAAAGAGTTAGTATGCTAACAGGAACTCTTTTGTTTTCAAATTCACACTTCTGGTTTATTTTTACTTTCTTTGATGACAGCTGAGTACAAATGAGCAAAAGTCTAACATTAAAAAGAAATTGTCATGAAAAGTAGTAGTTCTATTTCTAGAAATACGGAGGGGTTTTTGGAGTTTTAGATGTGCATATTTTTCAATTAATTGTTTCTCAACCTGTGTCTTTTATGGTAACTTTATATAAAAATAAGCTTCAAGGAGCTGCCATTATGAATCACTTATGTTAATTTGATTTGAGTGAAACTGTTACAGGTAGTATAAAAGAGTGATCTTGTGTAGTGAGGATAGAAGTTCTTGCTTCATTTTTGATCCCAAGCATTGCTGCCCTGTTACAGTAATCTGTTGAACCCATTTGGCTTGAAAGGTCCTCGGAAGTGTCCAGGTAATTTTTCAGCTGTAAAGCACTTGCTCAATAGTAGTTCAGAATCCACTTGTGAAGTTGAACAGAACCTGTAGAACATGCAGGAAGCCTCCTGGGACAGTTTGTAGACAGCTAATGTATTAAGTATTTTACTGACAATACAGTATTAATATAAATGCCTGTAAACTTTGTTGGAGAAGAGCAAAAAATCCTGTCTAGGCAGGGAGGAAAAGCATTATTAAACTTGCAACCTGGTCCCAGAAAGAATACATACTTTCTTCTCTCAAGCATGATTTTCTCATACCTTTTTTGAGTTCTTAATGCAATTTTTGGTCATTTATGATACTTAACTGGGCATATGTATTAAGAGAACATGAATTAGCTCGCTCTTTTTTAGTCTCTCTTCAGCTTAATACATACCTTTCTGTTTTCATAGCTGCTGCAAGAAGACTAGAAGGCTAATTTGAGACTTTGGGTTTCGAATTAATCTGTCACTCATGAGTACAGGATCATGACTGGAGGGTTCGAAGGAGATCATCTAGTCCAACCTCCTTCTCAGGTCCATTTGCAGAAGCTTACGCTGGCCTCCTTCCTGTCAAGTGTTTAATACCTTCCAAGAAAGGACTTTCCATAAACTCTTAGGGGTAGTATTCTGGTATTTGACTGCCCTCATGCTAAAAAGTATTTTGTCCTTTTGTGATGCAAGTCCAAGCAGAGCCTGTCTGTCTTCTCCACACCTGCCCCTTAGGTGGTTGTAGGCAGCACTTGCCATCACTGAACACGCACGCTCAGCCCCTCCTTGTAGCTCATTTGCACCAGCTGCCATAACTATCTTAGTGGCTCCCCTGGACTTGCTCTACTATGTCAGTACGAGGTACTTAGCATTATAGTTACACAGTTTTCCAGCGTGAGAAATACTATACTGGCTGCAGTACTCGAGGTGTGGTCTCACAAGTGTCAAGCAGCAGGGAATAATTGCTTCCCTCACCCTACATTCTGTTAATACAGCGCAGGATATGGTTGGTTGCCTTTGTTGCAAGAGTATGCTGCTGACTCCTCTTCAATTTGGTGTTGATGGAGGATCCCTGGGTCTTTTTCAGCATAGTTAATTTCTAACAAGCCAGTCCCCATAACAGCCCGTGTCTGGTTTTGTATCTTCTGTCCAATCACAGTGACTCCTGCAGGTTGTCATTGATAGTGTTGTGCTTCCTCTACAGACATTTAAGACCCTTTCTGCGTCTTAGTCTGAGCATAAGTTTGTTATTGTTCATATTTTAAAAGGTCTAGAATAGTTTATTGAAGTACAAAGAAAACTTGGTCTGAAAAGAATAAGATTTTAAATAATAAGGTTGAGATTTTAATGAGGAAAACAAAGGAAAAAGATAATGCATTTAAAAAAATCTTGTAACTGTAACGGTTGTGAGAATAAATATGTATGAGGAAAAGCTGTAATATCTCCCCGCTCTCACAAATAATTTTTCTAAGCTGCCTCAGTACAGTCTTTCCATATATGGAAAAAATGACTTGGAGATTTGATCTCCTGTAACACATTTTTTTCAAAATCTCCAAATACGTACTGTTGGAAGAATACTTCTTCTCTGTATCATGTCACAGGGGAGACAATTTGAGAGAGATGTTTGGAGGGGCGGGAAGAAAGGAGGAGGATTTTTTTTGCATTGGGCATGTTGAAATGTTTTGTGTAGTTTTTCAAAGACTAATAACTCAGGCCTTCCCCTTTTTGTGAAATTTCATGGCCTCAAGATTTTGTTCAAACCTTGGTGACTTGTATACTATGTTCCAAAATGATTTAAATGTGCCTCTGCTTTATGTACATGTCAACATAACACAAAGACAATGAAACAAGAATTTGAAATGCAGTGACACAATATTTGAGTTTTAAAGTTATGTTGACCAGTAACATAACTGCTGCTTCTAGTTGTAATCCTCCTTTCCCTGGAGGAAACAAAAAGCTGAAAAATATGTCCTGGTTTATTATAAAGAAAACGTTGCTTACATTTCTGAACAGCAGTGTGCTTGGTTATAGAAATTAGGCATGTGAAATCTCATCTCAATTTTTTGTTAAGAAAAATCAGAGCAAGTAGAAGTGGAATGTGAGTAGCAGTTTTACAGTTTTCACAAGCTTGGTGCTATTTCTGTCTGGTCAAAATAAGACAAATGCAATTGACAGCAGCTGTTACCTCCTTCAGTGGAGATCACTTGGTGACATTATTGAAAAAGGATGTTTCATTTGTTTCACTTTGTTTAGAAAAGGAAGACCAGTGTCTCATGCCTGAAGCTTGGAATGTCGACCAGGGAGTAATAACCAAACTCAAGGAACAATACAAAAAGGAGCGCAAGGGGAAAAAGGGGGTGAAGAGTAAGTGGAAAACATTGCACCTTAAAATCATAAATCCCACATCTTTCACACCCTTAATTCTATCTCTCTTTCAATGTTTTCCTAAAATTACTTACTCTTTTACTTTGCTGCTCCTGACTGCTTTCCTGTTCACCAGTTCTCAGGGGTTGAAATTAATGACAGTCAATCAATTTATCTTATAAATAGTTGGATTAGATATAACTTCTTCCAACCAGGTGTTGGGGTAATAAAAAATTATTGCTTTGAGCATGGATTATACTTTTGTTATTCAGAAACTTAAATTATAAAAGACATTGGTTTAATAGTTCACACTTTAATATAGAAGACTTCAGAACCCTTTGTTAGCTGGAAACATGCCAGTTTCACAGGAAGAGCTAAAGTCTGGTATGTAAACAAAAAAAAATGCCAAAACTAACAAAACAAACCAGAAACTTTCTTGAGTATCCTATTAGATGACACAGGGAGAAAACAGGTTAATTTCTACCCCTGTTTATACTTAACATTCACATGAAAGTCATGCTGTCATCATAATTTGTTATGCAGGGCTCGAAATAGGAAGCAACTCTGACCATCATTTTATTTGTAAATCACAGGATTTATTAATTGAGTTTTGTATTGGTGGGACTAGCCTTTTAAAATGTTGGATATTTTTATCCAAACAAAAAACTGTGATCAGTTTCTGAAATACAGTTTCTAGCCCTGTATTGTATTTTTGTTACATTTCTTGAAATACAAATCTGTTTTGTAAAAATCAATTGTTTTTTTCGTAAGTAAGCCTTAAAACTTTTAAAGTCAGATGAAGTGTTTGAAATGAAACACTGTATTGACAGCTATGTTTCAAACATCTAGTCATATCGAGAATTCATGTGTGAATGATGTAAATTAGTAATATTGCATGTAGCCCAGTAGAAATTTGAGATATATTTCTCCCTTTGTGGGAAGATGCTTATGAATTCCAAGGAAATTCCCACTTCGAAACAGACATGCGTAACAGTGGAACAGGAGTCAGATCCTCACATCATTGAGGCTGACTTGTTTTCTTACTTTTTGTAGGCTGCTGCTCAGCAGTTACATTGCTGCAATTATGCTATCAAATGCACAAACTAAACCTTTTTTTCTTTTTATTAAAAAAAGTAAATCAGTACCATACTTTAAATTTCTCAAGTAATATTTTTGTCATCTTTGGAATCATTTAAGTTACTGGAACTTAATTGCAAGTGTGATGAGAAGCTGAGCTGGCCAACTAAAGTGTTCATGTTTCACAAAATTGATTCTAAATTTCTTTATAGTTAAGATAGAGAGGGCATACCAATATACGACTTCAGTGAAATTGAGTTTTGTAACTTGTCTGGTATTTTAAAAATACACAGACGTGCTATGTAGTTCAGGGTAAGTAGTTGTAGGGTTAACTTAGCAGAAATTTAACCAAGCTGTTGAAATTATATTCTTGAACAGCTTTTTACTTTTGATAGTAAAACTTAATATTTAATTGTTAATATAGACAGATATTGTTGGAATATGCTTTATACATTTATGAGAAAAAATCCTGATGTAAGGCAGCACTTGGACATCCAGTGCTCCTTCATGAATATGTCTACTGCTCAGTACATTTACAGTACATTTAGAGTGATTTGGTTGGTTTGATCTTGAGAGACCAAATGGTTTGCTGCAGTACAGAAATTAAGCATCTTTCCATGGACAGACAATCACTGGAAGGGCATCAATGCAGTAAAATCAGGAGGAAACACAGCCTGTTTTCAGCTATTCATGATATTGCACGAAGTGAAGAAGAATGTGAGGAAGGAAGTCCAGGGGAAGAAGAAGGGACTAAATATCTTGACATGAAATTGTACAAAGCTTGTTTCTGTGACTTTAATCTCATCATAAATGGTGTTTAGACACTGAACTGCTACTAAGTAAAATATTGTTTCTGTAAATCAGATATTATAGTAAAACAATCTTGCAAAATCCGACTTACTGTTTTCCTGAGTCAAGTGATGTTTTTTGTGACAGACAAGTTAAATACAATTTAGTTTATTACTGTCATTATGGTTAGGGTGGACAAAGTAGATTTTGCAACTGTATTAGTAAACTTAAGATTTTGCAAGGCTGTAGTAACCATTCCTGTGAAGTAATAAGAGAATAGAATCATAGAATGGTTTTATGAGAGAGTACATATATTCTGAGTACGTGTATTCTGAGTTCATGTATTCAGAGTACACTTCTGTGTTAAAGCTGCTTAAAAATAGCTGTATTATTTACTGGTCTAGGAAAAAACATAATGGACTATGGGTAAGACATTTTCCCATTCTTAATTAAACTTACAACAGGAAAAACTACCGAAGATATGTTTCAGCCTCAATCCTATATAAAACAGTCAAAACAGGGATGTGGGAAAATGATGGAGCAAAGCACAGGTAAGTGTCAAGAAGGGCATGGGTCTTCACCATATGTAGCTTCAGGAAGTAGGCCAGTGAATTCAGTTGCATTTATATTTTAATATAAGTATATTTTTTTTTATTATATAGTTCACGATACTACACTACTGCACAAATAAATTTAAAATACTAATGCTGTCATAAGAATATGCTGCACAAAGTATCTCATGCACAAATTTTAAAATATTCACAAATGTCAGCTATTGTTTTGGAAAAGTAAATATTCTAATAATCAGTGTGACTCAGTTGGAGGCATTCCTCAGCATCCCATGCAAGTAGCAGTATGAGTTTATAAAAGTGGGGTAAAATGTGCATTCACAATTCTCAGTTGCTTCTGTCACTTTCTTTTCAAGAAATTCATTTCATGCTGGCTGATTAGTTACTGCTGAAAATAGGTGCTCATTAGTTTTTCTGTGGTAATGTGATAATGCAAGGTAGGATCCATTGTTGCATGTGCTGCTGTAACGTATTTGATATAATTAGTGCCATCATGAGCTATGCATAACCATTTTTATTTTTTTTTTTCTGGTTAGGGCCCAACAGGTCAAAGCTGCAAGATATGCTTGCAAACTTGAGAGATGTTGATGATCTCCCTTCATTACAGCCATCTGTTGCACCTTCTTCTAGGCCCAGTAGCTCAAGGCTCATTGAACACGAAATAAACCGGACAGATGAAGGTAAGTATTGAAAAGGTGTATAAAAGGGTAGATGTTTATAGTTACTTCTGCTTAAAGATTATCCTCTAAGACTTTCCAAGCACTTTACAAATACTCATTCAGCATTACGAGTTCTGTTGAAGTGCAGTAAGTGGCATTCCCATTCCTCCCCTCTGATCGCTATTACTAAGGTCAAGACACCTACCAAGGTAAAATCTTGGCTAAATAGCTTTGAATGTGATGGAAGAAACTAATTTGGCACTGGTTGGCTTTGCAATATGAAGGTCTTAAGTCGCTTGCTTTTGTTTGTGTTCTGGCCTGGTGGTGAAGTGTGGAACATAAACTCTCAAGGACATAAGAGCATCTGTTTTTCTCCCCATGAACATAACTTTAAATATATGTAAATATATACATGTACACATACACATATGTATGTGGGGTTTTTTAAGTAAAAAGGTAGAGGCTCTGCAGGTAAACACAAGTGGCTAGGTATAGCTTTTAAATGCATGTGGCAATTGTGCAGTGAATCATACAGAACACTTACAGCTTGGCAGTGTATTCATTTCCATGATTAAAAAAAATTCTTGTAGCAGCTAGTCCAAGTATGGAAAGCCACACATCTTTGCAATGAGGCACATGGTTATCTTCATTAATATTATCTCTGAAAGTTGCTAAGTCATATATTTGATTAAAACATTTGGATTGCTGTAATATGTAGCAAAATAAAATGAATATATGAGGCTATATTAATTTGTAAGAGATCATATCATGTGTTCTTTATTTAAATGGTAAATATGTCTTTGGAAAAATGAGCAAAACACGGGTCTCACTTAGCAGTTTTTCAGTGAGTGTGAAAAAGTAGGTTGGCCAAGTTATAATTAAGATGCATAAAAAGCCCCAGCATGTGGCATAGTTACCAAAGATCTCAGTAGTTCTATTTCCTAGATGCTTGGTGATTTTCTTTATGAAAGAAGGGGGTAACTTAGCAACTCTTTGAGGAGTGGAGGAATTTTTTGTCGAATGTTTCCTTTCCAACTTTTCTCACATGTACTGAGAGCCATATCAGCAGAGCTCTATTTTCATCTCCTTTCAGTAATGTGTTTTGTAATTCAGAGACTCAGATGGACTCTCACAAAAAAAATTATTATCAATCTGAGTCCAGTATTACAATGTATTATCTGTGTAGTCATTTTTTTATAAATCTAAGACTGATATTTTTGGTATACATTTTTTTTTTATTCTAGTTAACTTTTCAAATGTATTGTCCTGTATATATTGAGTTTTGAGTGGAATATTACATCATAAGTTCAAAAGAGAAAAAAAGAGAATGATAGTTCAGACTTTAGAATGAAGAAGGTAAGAGATGTTTGGATTAAAAGGTAATAACTAAGAGACCTAATGAAACGGCAGAACTTGAAAGGCTTTTATTTGATTGTAAAAACTCACAGAAAGCAAACAGGACACTCTAGAGGTATGAAGGTGGAACAGAAAGACCATAGAAAGATTAGCTTACTTTATGCTGGGTGGACTGGAGAGGAATTGAATGCATCTTAATCTGATGCGTTTGGAAAAGGGGGAAGCAGCCTGAACAGATTGAGCTATTCATTGTAAACCATCATTTGCTTGGTTTTAACTTAGTGTTGGTGCTGTTAAACTAAATTAGGCACTGCGAATGAGATGGTGTTCCCTTTTCGCTTCCCTGGTAGCAACAGTATTTGCCAAGGCTTATATTTACAATGGAGCTAAAAGGGGAAATAATTTCTAATTTACTGAAAAACCCTTGTAATTTGAGACAAAAGGTGTATAAAATTGAGTGAAGTCTCATGTCCAGAAGATAACACATTTTCATCTATTCAGTCCCCCTTTTGTGAGGTAGCGACATGGAGAGCTACTGTACAGGGAAATTGGTAAAGGCACAGCTTCTTTTGAGTACATTGATGCAGAGCCTTATGTGATATAAGTGTGTGAACTGTACTCAGCCTCCCATTTCTAGTGAGTCTGCCTATGGAAGTGTTTATGTTACAGCGCTATAGCAGCTGTAAACTAGTAAGTTTGGATACTGCTAGTAAAAACCTGGAGTGCAGTGCTGACTCACCTGTTTGGTAGTTAAACTGATTTTTTGGAACAGGCTGCCCAGGTAAGTGGTGGAATTGCCATCCCTGGAGGTGTTTAAAAGACAAGTAGACGTGGTGCTTAGGGTTTAGTGGTGGTTTTTGACAGTATTAGATTGATGGTTGGACTTACTGATCTTAAGTCACTTCCAACCTAGACAGTTCCATGATGATTTCTCAGCTAGATTGGAGTGCATGTAAACAACTTAATTGTAGATGTGCTTTTGGATGTGTGTGGATACAGTGTTGGGAAGGAAGAGCCCAGCTGCTCACACTGTGCAGCTCTTTTTGTCTACGTTTTTGCTACCTCTCCAGAGCATATTTTATAGCAGAGTTGGGGAAGGGCCTGAGCTTTTCTGTGTTGCTCTTGCATTATGTATGGGTGAATGGTAGTGCACCCACCTGTGGCTCTTTGAATTTACTCTCTTGGGTCACACACACTTCAAGTGTAAGTGTTATGTTCGGAGGATACTGTTTATCGGCAAGTACAGTGATTATCTTTAGAATGTCTATTTTTTATGTAACGTTTATATCCTTTTGTCTGCAGCTACTTGAGAGATATTTAGTACTTTTTAAGTGGAAAATAAGCTTTTATTAATCAATGTTGTATAAACCCATGTTTCAGGATGTTTTTTGTTTTGTTTTCTTGCAGTGGAAGCTTTAACATTCCCTCCTTCTTCAGGGAAATCTTTTATTATGGGAACAGATGAAGCCCTTGAAAACGAGCTGGGTCTTGGAGAACTGGCAGGCCTTACAGTAGCCAATGAGGCAGATTCGCTGACCTACGATGTAAGTGGTTATTAATGGTAACTCAGGGTCTTACTGTCTGCTTGCTGAAGGCAGATGCAAGTTACATGTGTGTAGACTCAGCAGAAAACATATTCCTTTTAAAATTATGCTGCCAGAGGAAGTCACAAATTTTGACCTGAGAAATCAGTGCTTCCTATTCACAGCAGCCTTCGAGCTCTCTGCAAGCCCTCTCCCTCTCATTTGCTTGCCAAGTCATTCAAATAGTTGAAAGTAAATGTAATTAGTGATAGCGATACAGCTGGATAGATGTAACTCCAGTGACACAGCAAAATTAGGAGTAGTATGGCCAGCAGATTGAGAGAAGTTCACGTCCCCTCTTACATGGGGCTGATGAGGCCGTGCCTGTAGGCAGTTTGGGTCCCTCCACTTCAAGACAGTTGTGGAGAAACTGTAGCATATAACTGATGAGGACATGCTGAGGGAACTAGTCTTGTTCAGTTGTTAGGAGGCTAAGAGGTGCTCAAATAGCGCCCTACAGGTATTGGAAGGATGCTTACAATGATGGCAGACCCAAGCTTCTCCATAGTGCTAGCTGTTAAAACAAGAGGAAGCAGTGGCAAATTATGGCTTGGGAGGTTCAGATTGAACATTAGGGGAAGAAGTGTTACGTAGTAAGTGATACTGAAGCAAGTTACTTGGAGAAACTGGAACTGGTATACTGGGAAATGTTCAAGACTTGACTAGGGGAGAGCTGTGGCTTACTTTACCTGGTGTGGACAATAATCTCATTTCAAATGGGAAGCTGGACCAGAAACTTTTTCAGAGGGTCTTATGGCCGGCACTTCTGTGGCTCTGTGTGTAGCCTATGGCTTCTTTGACTTTCACTTTTTAAGAAAAATCTTTCTTAAAGTTGCTTCTTTTCTGTCATACACAATTTTTTTTTTCCTGTATTTCTGATTTCTTGGAAAAAATACTTCAGGTATTACTTAAATAATCTGCTTCTTTGTGGTCTGTCAATTTAAGATTAATCTTGCTGTATCATTGTCCAGCTCTATCAAGTTTGAGGGATTCTAGAAATTATTTTTTTAGTATTGCATGTTGGGGAGGAATCATACCCTTCAGTAGATCGAATCTGAGACTTCAGAAGCAACCTGCAGGGCATTACTTTGAAATTCAACCCTTGTATGTACTTGTAAAGCAATGAGTTACATAGTTAGTAAAAGTTTACACACATTTTGAGAATGACACTGCAGAGGTGTGCACTGCTACTATAGCAAGTCTCTGAGCATGTGATGTGTTGTGAATCATCAGGATTGCAATGATATAAAACATCTCTCCTTAAATTCAGTAATTTAGCATTATCTCCTAATTTGGGCTCAGCTCTTAACTTTTTTGCTAATCTTCCCTATCTTTGTCTCCAGAAGAGGGTAAGATGGTGTACAAATTTCATTTCTTTTACAGTTATATCTAAAACTTTGATGTTGAATTTTTAAGAGGACATGACAAATCTAGACCCATCTGTACAAGGGCTTAATGCTTTCACTGCTTGACTTCAATGTTCCAAGTGTCCATATAAACTATAGTGGTTGTCCATGTCTCCATATCTTGAACTAACAGCTTTCATTTATAGAATCTAGCATTTCTTTATCCACCCCTATCCTTTTCTGCATGGTTGAGAGTATTAACTTGTTTGTTCACCTGTTAAATGCCTTTATGAAGTCCTGTGATTGGGAATTCATGGTCATGCTTACCTCACCTCTTATGTTTCCTAATGCTGACAATTTAAAAACAAACAAATAAAAAATTGTTTACAGGGCTCCTGTCATCTTATTGAAGCAAAATGAAAGGCTAGTTTTTCCATTTCAAATTTAACTGTAAGTTTAACTTAGAAATAATATAATCTGTTTTTATTTTGGACTGCTTCATACCTTCTTCCAGCTGCCAAATGTCAATCAGGTAGTGTTAGTGGACACAGTATATATTTTGGTTTTAAGTGTCAATTTTGAATCATATGGGGAATGAAGTTGAAAGATTTCATGTGAATAGGTTATTACATGTATTTGCTCTCAGTAGCTGCAGACACTTTCCTGTTTTCAGTCCCTTTCTTCCTACTGGCACTTTTGCTGGATTCTTCTAAAACATGGCAGCATTAGCCTACCTCATTTCATGGTTTAAGTTTTTTACATGTTGCTTTGGCTGTCTGTAAATTAAAGAATGGTTTTTACTTGGTAATGGACATTATGAGTTTACTACTTAGAAAATTTTCCTTTTGTGGATACGTTTCTAGAATATCTAACAGGATGACATTTCCCAGATTGCTACCCAATACTCTCTTGAGTTTATCTTTTTGCTTCCTCTACACATTGTTGTCTACACAAATGTTGGTTCTGGAGGGACTCTCCATCTTTGCAGCCATCCTTTAAATACTGGAACATGGTGATAAGGTCTCCCCTAAGCTGTGTTTTTTCAAGACTGAACAAGCCCAGTTCTTGACCTGGACAAGCTAGATAGTTAGGCTTATGCAAATATCATGAAATTCAAGAAGGCCAAGTGCAAGGTCCTGTGCTTCTGTCAGGACAATCCTCATTATCAGTACAGGCTGGGGGATGATGTGATAGAGAGCAGCCCTGCAGAAAAGGGCTTTGGGGAGTACTGGTGGATGCAAAACTGGACATGAGCCAACAAGGCACACTCACAGCCCAGAAGGCCAGTTGCATCTCGGGTTGCATCGAAAGAAGCCTGGGCAGTAGTACAAGAGAGGTCATTCTCCCCCTCTACTCTGCTCTCATGAGACACCCCCCCTCCCCGGAGTACTGTGTCCAGCTCTGGAACTCTCAGCACAAGGAGGAGAGATTAGGAGAGGGTTCTTTACTGTGAGGGTGGTGGAGCACTGGAACAGGTTGCCCAGGGAGGTGGTTGAGGCTCCATCCCTGGAGATATTCAAGGTGAGGCTCGACGAGGCCCTGGGCAACCTGGTCTAGTTGGGGGTGTCCCTGCTGACTGCGGGGAGGTGGGACTAGATGACCTTTGGAGGTCCCTTCCGGCCTGGGCAATTCTATGATTCTATGATTCTATGACATGGACCTGTTGGAATGGGTCCAGAGGAGGGCCATGAGGATGATTAGAGGGCTGGAGCACTTCTCCTACAAAGACAGGCTGAGACAGTTGGGGTTTTTCAGCCTGAAGAAGCGATGGCTCTGGTGAGACCTTACCGTGGCCTTCTGGTACCTGAAGGGGGCCTACAAGAAAGCTGGGCAGGGACTGTTTGCAAGGGCATATAGTGACAGGATAAGGGGCAATGGTTTTAAACTAGTGCAGGGTAGGTTTGGATTAGACATTAGGAAGAAGTTCTTTACAATGAGGGTGGTGAGTCACTAGAACAGGTTGCCTAGAGAGGTGGTGGAGGCCCTATCCCTGGAGACATTCAAGGTGAGTCTTGATGAGGCTCTGAGCAATCTGATCTAGTTCAAGGTGTCCCTGCTTACTGCAGGGGTGTTGGACTGGATGACCTTTCAAAGGTCCCTTCCAACCCAACACATTCTATGATTCTATTCTATGATTCTCTCAGCTTTTCCTCATATCACAGACTTTCCAGTCCTTTGATCATCTTGGTGGCCCTACTCTGTACTTTCTTCAGCCTGTCCACATCTTTTTTGCATAGCAGGGGGCAAAACTGAACACAGTATTTCAGGTCTGGCCTGACAAGTGCTGAATGGAGTGGGATATGACTTTCTCTGCTGCTGATGCCCTTGTTGATGCAACCCAGGATCCTGTTGGCTTGCTTTGCTGCAGCAGCACACTGTCCACTCATATTCAGCTTGTTGTCCACCAGGATCCCTGGGTCCCTTTCCACAGAGCTGCTCCGCAACCAGGAAGATCCCAGCCTGTGCTATACTTCTGGATTAGGTTTGCCCAGGTGCAAGATCTTACACTTGTCCTTGTTGAACTTCATAAGGTTCTTCTTAGCCCACTCTTCCAGCCTGTCCAGGTCTTCCTGCAGGGTGGCTCTTCCTTTGGAAGTGTGCACTTCACTTAGTTTGGTGTCATCAGCAAACTTCATCAGGGTACACTTGATCCAATCATCCAGATCACTTAGGAAAATGTTAAACATCGTTGGGCCCAATATCAGTCCCTGGGGAACCCCACTTGTGACAGGTTGCCAGTTTGAAAAGGAGCTATTTACCACCGCCCTCGAGGTGTGGCCTGTCAGGCAGTTCCTCACCCGCCACACAGACCACTTGTCTAATTGTCTTGGTAGGGCAGCTGGAGGACGGACAGGGTTCCTCCATCACCTAATCAGCATTAGATGCCTGTGTTGAGGAACCCAAATTCCTGTTCAGATATCTGTGAATACTCAGTATGTCTTGTACCTTTTTTGCTGAGACATTCTTGGCCAATCTCCAGAAAATCTGCCAGAGCTGCTAACTTTGCAGTCCCTGCCCCATCCTCGCACCAGCATTTGTCTGTTTGCTCATTGAGCCAACTCAGCTCAGTAAACTGGCAAAGAAACTGAGCTGTCTCCCTGAGCAGACAGTACGTAGTTACTGAGAAATATGATGAAGCTAATACTCCTGTTTATTACAGCTCCTTTCTCACTGTTTAAAATCTATAGAATCTCTTAATTGAAGCATATTTTTTATTACTAAATCCAGAGGTAAAACATAAGAAAAAGCACTTTTGCTCTTATACCGTTCTCCGCCATTCCACAATAAAATGCAGACTCTTGAAGTGGCTCAAAACAATTGTCTCTTCTTTGCAGTTAATGAGATTAAATTACTTGTGATCATCTGTAGCTTTCGACATAATGAAATCATCAATATTTCTGTTACAATTGTTTGTTTTCCTGATTTTTCCATAACCGCCAGCATCAGTAGTTTCCGGAAGGTTAATTTAACTATGGCAGCGTTGAATGACAAATGATAAAAATCTGTTCAGCATTTTACATCAAGACTTGTTCAGAGTGGCAGTGTTGAATAACTGTTAGGTTTTTTAAGGGCTTGCTTTTTGGATATGCTAAAAATGCATTTATTGGCAAATAATTTTGTCTCTATACACGACAGCTTATTGCTTGCCAGTTATATTCTTAGTGTGTAGCCAAGTCATTCTTGCCTTTTTTTTTTTTTTTTTTTCTGGCAAGCTTTACATGTCTTGCATTATTACAGAGCTTGTGTTGCCTTAGGTGAGTAAGTTAGATTGTGTTCCTTTCTGCACTGTTGGACACTTCTCTGTTTCTCTTGTATTTTTACTTCAGAGATGCCGTGTCAGTGGTATTTCAAATATTCAGGGACTACAGCTTGGTTCAGTCAGGCCCAGTGTTAATGAATGAGCCGGTTGGGTATAGATCAACTTTCAAATACCAAACTGAGTTCACAGCAGTATCAGTCAGGAGGGTACTTCCAGCTTTTAAATTGTGTTCCTTAATAGACATGGAATATCTCAGATTGCAAAGAATGTGTTACTGTGGATGTGACATTGCTTGTTGCCTTTATGGAATATGTCTTTTTTCTCATTTTGAATTGTCTAATCAGTGTTAAATGGACTGTTGCTCAGGAGTAGGTTGTTCAGAAAAATGGGTGAGGTAATTTGATAGCTTCTGAAAATGCCAAACTAAATTTCCTCCTTTCCTTGTGCATTCCAGATTAACTACAAGTTTGGCTTTTTTTTTTTATTTTATTTTTTTATTAGATAGCAAACAATAAGGATGCATTGAGAAAGACTTGGAACCCCAAATTCACATTAAGAAGTCACTTTGATGGAATAAGAGGTCTTGCTTTTCATCCGGTTGAACCAGTCTTAATAACAGCTTCAGAGGACCATACATTAAAAATGTGGAATTTACAAAAAACAGCCCCAGCAAAAAAGTAAGATTTTTTTTTTTTGGCTTTGTTTCAAAACACATTTTCTTTTATGAAGAAAAAAAGAAATTGTACATTGAATTTAAGAGCAGGAAAACAAGGTCTTGGAGAAGGATGGAGATTAAAGGGTGCCAAAAGAAATCCATGCTTGTTTGTGAAAATGAAAACCATTCACTTTTTTATATTTTCCTTGTAGATAACATCTAAATTAATTTACTAGTTAAAATTTTTGGATGTGGCCTGTTTGTGTCCTTGCATGTGTATATAAATGTATAAAAAATGCATTTATATACATGCATATATATGTATACACGTATACATGTGTACAGCTTTAAAATTTGACCAAGGTGTTACTGGGCTCCTTTGTACATTACCTCATCTGTGGTGTTGGGGAGTGTTGTTGGGGATTTGCAGAAATGAAAGCAAATTTTTAACTGGGCTAATACTATATAAGTGAGTACGTCATACCTTTTAGGAGGACTAGGCAAAGCATGTGGTTTTCCTGCAGTCTGTAGCTGGTAAAGTCCAGAGCAGCAGTTTTAAAGTGGTTTGTAACTGTGCTACAGCGTTAGTATAAAATCAAGGTGTCATAAGCTCATTTCCTCTGGTAGGGGTTGGGGACACTTAATGATATATTCCATGTGATATTGATGGCCCTCCCCTCTTTCCCCACCATTGGTATGCCTACCTAATGGTTTGATTGGTGCGTGAGACTTTGTGGACTCTCTACCTTGAAGGTCTTCAAACGAAAAAGCAAAACCAAACCTTACCGTATCTTGAAAGAATGCAAAGTATTCCTAGACATATGAAAAATCATGTTGGGAGAGGAAGTTGTGGGGGAAACACTTCAAAAGATGCAGCGATGATTTTAAGATTTAGTAATTCTGGCACGTTTTTGTAATGCAGTGTGAAAGATCAGATACATGTTAATGTTTTCTTGTACTTCATTTAGGAGTGCTTCTCTTGATGTAGAGCCAATATATACCTTCAGAGCACATAAGTGAGTATTTCCTGAGAAACATTGTCATATTTTGAGAAATACATGATTTTTAAGAAGACACAGAATTTTTTTTTAATAGTGATTTCTACTTTGTCAACTAGGGGTTTCATGTGATGTTTTTAGTTCCCATGTTATTTAAAATATCTGTGTATGTTTATCTCCCTTCTGCATAATTATTTGTCTGGAGCTAGGTACACCAAAGTTTTAAAAAGAAAAAGTCTACAAATTATACAGATCAAACTTGATGAAGTGTTCTGTTCATCATTGAAGCTCTTGCCTTTTTGTCAGATATGTGCATCTGTAGAATGAAGCTGTTTGCAGTGAATTAAAATCACAGAATCTTCTAGGGTGGAAGGGACCTTAAAGATCATCTTCTCCAACCGTCAACTGAATCGGTTTAATGAAAGAGCCCTAGATCTTTAAAAAAGGGAAAAAAGAGCTGTTTATGCAAAATAACAAAGCCTATAGCTTAAAAGTATGACAGTTCTCATCTTTCATGTCCATAATGATTAAATTGTCCTGATTGTAGTTACATTACCAAATATTGTGGAGGTTTTTTTTGTGGGAAGTGTTGGTAGCATATGATCTGACTACGCACAATTTTTGTTGCGGTCTGTGCAACAAGTGAATTGTAAGAGAAATTTGAAGATTCCATTGAAGTTGTTTTTCACATAATGGAAATATTAATAGTCAATGTTCCTTGCCGGGGGGGTGTGTGTTTTTCCAGTGGACCAGTGCTCTGCGTGGTGATGAGCAGTAATGGTGAACAGTGTTACAGTGGGGGAATGGATGGGCTCATCCATGGCTGGAGTACAACCAACCCGAACATTGACCCCTATGACTCTTATGGTACGTTGCTGTCACACCAACCAGTCAAATTTTACTTTTAGTGACATTAATATTACATGGCTAAAATAGTATAATTTGTAGATAATGCTTCTCTGAAAATTTAAAAGGGAAAATTGAATGTTGGCTTCAATTACTTTAGGTTATTTTTTGTTTTGATACTGAATCTTGTTGATGAGAAGATAAAATCCATCATTTTCTTAAAAAAGACTTGGATCTCATCGCAATTTTGAGAAACAGCTAGGTTGAAAAAGTCAGGACTAAACCTGATACTTGGCAAGTACAGCAAATGTCTATTTTAATGTTATCTTCTTCCACAAATCTCTGTGCACTTGGGAGGCAAAAGAGGTTGTATAGTCTGAGACCAAAGCTGTTAATGTTGTTGCAAACAGCTAAAAAAGCCCAGTTTAATAAGATTTACCAGATGTGAATGGATGTCAGCCTTGTGTCTGTGTTTTAAAACATTTTTCACTTCTTGTAGCTTCAGATGCAGTTTGCCAAAATGCTGGCTTTTGGAAAAAAGGGACTGACGTGCCATTAATTAGTGATTGTTTGAGAGCAGGTATTAACATCAAAGTGTGCTTTGCCAACTTCAATACTGTCCCTTCTGCTTAGTTGTAAACTGAATAACTGAATGCCATGTATGGTGATGAAATTCAAGCATCTTCATACAAGAAAAATTTAGACTTCTATATTGATGTGACCTGATTGTTCTTGGGATGTTTTTATGGACTGCTAGCTTCTAATTCATTGGTCCATAAATGCAGACAAAGATACATTTATTGACTTAATTCAAGTTCTGTTTTGAAATATGGTTTGTTCTGTTTTGTTTGCAGATCCTTCTGTTCTAAGAGGTGCTTTTGTAGGCCATACAGATGCAGTGTGGGGTCTGGTTTACAGTGGAGCGCACCAGCGTTTGCTGTCCTGTTCAGCAGACGGTACTATACGTCTATGGAAAGCTACAGAAATTGCTCCAGCTCTCAATATATTTAATGATAATCAAGGTACAGAAAATTACCCTACCTTAAAGTTCATGAGCATCACAGTTCAGGCTGCCACCATTTTGGCTACTGAATAGAAATCTTTCTTGTTTCTTTTGCTGGATTTTATATCTATATGAATGTTTTTGGGAAGAGTGAATTTTGGGTCCCTTCTCCTTTGACACCAGCTGAATAGATACCTACACATGGGGACAATCCCATACATCTAAAAGCCAACTGCTGCAGATGATCTGCTGATGTTACTGGAACCATGGAGTATAATTTGTCAACTCCATAGTTCATAATCAAACTGAATTTCCGTTAGGCCCTTGCTTTTGGTTTAGCCAGAATAAAAAGCCCTTTCTTCCTGCAATAGAGGTTTGGAGTAGCCAGTGCTTTGTCTCAGGCCAATGTCACTGTACCTTCTAGATTCTGTTCCTTGTGCCTCTAACATAGAGGGTTTTGGTATTTCATTTTTTTTTTAATTATTAAATTAAAGGGGAAGAGGGAGTAGTCTTGCCTCACAGAGCTAAGCTTTGGGTTTTTTGTATGCCAAACTAAAATTAAACCCACTTGCGAAATTCAAAGATCCTCCTTTGAAACTGAGTTTTCTTATGGCTTATTGAGAACCTCGAACAAATTCTCTAAAATATCATCATTTAAGTCCTTTAGACAAACCATTGTAGGCTTACCAGGGTGCTGCAGGTAAGCAGGTATGGCAGTGGTAGTAAAGGTTGCTTTAGAAATGTGTGTTTTCTTATAACACCAATCCTTTTTGGCTTTTTTGGAGCACTAGCAGATAGGTACCACCATTCCCGAGCAACATTTCTGAGGTCATGTGTCCAAGACAGATGTTTCTCCCAGGTTTAGAGAAAGGTGATGGTATTCCCGTGTTATCTGGATCCATGGACATTAGGTTGCTTAACATTCAGTGTCTCAGTCTCTACCTTTTCCTCCTCCTCCTGGCATCTGTTGCAACCAGCGTTGTTCTTTCACGTAGCAGGTGGTGAACAGGACATTGGAGGAGAAAAGTTCTACAGGATAATTCCTGCACCCAAGCTCTCATGATATGGCCTCCTGTCGTGTAGTGTTCAGATAGCTACACTGTAAGGAGATCAGATGTATACCATAGTAGGCAGGATGGACAAAACTTAGCAATACAAGTTAATAATATATTTATGTAACTTTCCATGCTTTCCAGTGTCAGTGTATAAAATTTGCACCTGGAAAGTTTAAGGTTTTTTAAAGGTCTGAATTTGCCCAGTTTAATAATAATGTTAATCATCTGTCATGTAAATGATTTTACCACTTCAGTTTCATGTCCTTTTGCTTGATGCGATGGAGGTTTGTTTGAGAATTTCTCTTACAGTTATAGGAAGGAAAAGGGGTCAGGGAGTTCATACCTTGTTAATTTCAAAGTAGATTTCTGTGCAGTTGCAGTTTTTCAGGTACATCACCTTAGTAACAAATGTTGATAAGCATATCAGAAAATAGGATTAAAATAGTGATCATACAGGACAATGTATTTAAATTGGCATAATGTAGGTCTTAAAATGTAACATTTATTTTAATAATCATGCCCCTCGATATTAAGGTGCTTATTGGTTGGGGTTTTTTGTTTCTTTTTTGATTTTCTTTATACCAACTAAATCTTCTGAAAATGTTTTCTACATTGCTTTCTAGAAATGGGAATCCCTTCATCAGTAGATCTCGTGAGCAGTGATCCAAGCCTCATGGTAGCATCATTTAACAGTGGACACACTAGCATTTTTAACATGGAGACACGGCAACAAATTCTTACCCTGGAGTCCAATGTGGATACTAGTATGTATCAAAACTGTCATCCCTCCACCCACACAGAAATTGCTTGTTTAAGATCAGTACTGTTGATAGTCTTTTTGGTGTTTCCAAACAATTAGGCAGTGCCGTGATAAATTATGGCATGAATTCTGTTACAAGCTTTTGAGATGTAGCAGTAAATTATTACTACTACAGCAGACCTCGTGGGTATTTCAGTAGCAGAAGAGTGCACGTACTTTTCAAATAAGGTAGAAGAAGCAACCCCACATTATCTGGATTACTCTTCAAGGAACAGTAGCACAAACAAAAGCATAGATTTCTTTGATGAAGTCCAGTGATCTTTGCAGCTTAAAGATTTCCATTCTCTCTTTAGTCCAAAATTGCAAGATAGAGTTAATATCAGGAAAATCTAAACTTGAGTTTGTTAAAAAAATTGGGAGTGTGTGTGTGGATTCTTTTTTTAGTTTTCCTCAATAATATCTATCCCTTTTCTAAGTTATATATACACTCTTTGCTTTTGCAGCTGGGCTTTAGTTGCAGTTTTCACTGTGGGAGAAAAGCAAAGCTCCAGTGGAAGAGTATTCCCAAGGTTCCATACAATGCCATGGATCATGGCAGTGGCTAATACCAGAATTTTTGGAGGAAATTGTAAGGAGCCTGCTCTCAGTAAATTATTTTGCCCTGGCATTGGGAAAGAGACCAGAATGAGCTGAAGCGTGAGGTTTCATATTCAGGCCAAAATGGTCAAGTGATAAAAAAGACTGGATGTTTATATTGTTAAAATTTTGATATTTTTTTCCCCCAAAGCTTTGTCACTGAATTCTACTATTTAATTATGTTGTTAAAAAGGAGTAAGCCCTTCTTGTTGGCTTTGCTTGTCCGTTTTAATATAGTTAAATGAGTCTGTAATTTTATGAGAGGGAATGGAAAGCGTAATCTCCCTTTATATTACTTACTGTGCGGGATTTCTTTTTTTTTTTTTAACCCACATCTTTGTTCCTGTCTCAAAAAAGAGTCCCAAATCAGTTTTCTCTATTCAGTGGACACTGGAAGTTACCTTTATTTTTTTTTTTTCCCTTTTACATTGTATTTTTTTTCATCACCTCCTCCTTACTGTAATTCAGTAGTATTTCTCTAAGAAAACTAGACCACAGTATGGCAACCAGCAGTCTCTGTTTAGTATCTCTAGTTATATAACAGTACTATAAAGCTTACATGTATTTTTTAAAAAATAATGAATTATTTCTGTAAGAATTAGGTAAGAGTAAAAGGAGTTACCTGAAATGCCCTACGACCACTATTTAGGGACTCTGCTGTTCAGTGTAAGCTTCACTCTGCTTAGCATTTTAAAACTTTGAGGATAGCTGGCTCTGATGCAGTCTCATGTGCATTTAGCAATTTTAGGGGAGGTTACTAGTACAAATATGGGTTTTTTTCTTTAATTTACACTTTAATAATTTTTAAGTGTCCTGTGAATGCTGACACTACTTGAGGGTTCAGATTTTTATAGCAGAATATAAATTGAAGTCTTTACCAACTTAGTAGCAAATGATCCTATAGTAGCATTCCATTTTGTTTATTTTAGTAAGAATTTTGATTAGATGATGTGAGTGTTCTTCGGCAGCAGTTTAACTAAATACAGTCAGCTTCCACATGAAAGGAGATAACTGCATTTTGATGTTCTGTGGAGTGGCTATTTGTCTTTTTGTGGTAATCTATGTCTCTTAAGACCACTCTTGCACTAGTTTGTGCATCACAGCAATGTCTAGATTTCTAATCAAAAACGCCCATACTGTTTGTGTGTTGTGTGTATATGTATATATATGATATTTCAAGATGCTTGAAGGCTAGGAAAATGGCTCTCCTATGTATAGTTTAGCATTGGTTTTTTTTCAATAAGAATTTTATCAAATAGGAGTAGGTGGGTTTTGCTCTGTGAGGGTGAGGGCATGCGATCTTGTTTGTTTGGAAACCTACTGCCTAGAGTGTTAGTCTTCCTGTACTGTCTGTATGTTATGAAGAAAGCCTGGCTTGACAAGAAGAGGAATGTGGAGGTGGGGAAGTGCAGAAAAGGTATTTTCAGTCAGGTTTTGGCTTCATATTCTTGCCTGATGTGCCCATCTAATACCGTGGTCAAAAGTTGGACCTCATTTGTTTGTATTTGCACTCATACATACGGTTCATGTATGCCTCTGTGTGTGTGTAATTTGGAAAATATTTGAGAGTCAACCACATTACATAAGGTGCTAGCTGAGAGTTTCCATTATATAAAGATAGGGATTATTTTGCAAATGAGATTGATTAAATATATATTTCTTAATAGCAATCTTTCAAATAACTTAGTAATTTACATGTATTGATATGTGTGGGTTTTCTTCGTAGCCGTCAGTTCCTCCTGTCAGATAAACAGAGTCATCAGCCATCCAACTCTTCCAATTAGTATCACTGCTCATGAAGACAGACACATCAAATTCTACGACAACAATACAGGTATGCATCTTTTCAGCAGGTCCTAGTCAGAGCGGTTGTATGACATAAAACATAAACAGAATGTCATTATGATTAATATTATTCACATAAATGCTGAAGGATGTCAAGAATTGGATCCCTGAAACAGAAATCTCTCATCACCAGTAGAGACCAAAGATTGCCGGGCCACATAAAACTTCATTGGCACATTGATAAGGAATCTGCATCATTCTCTGTCCATTCTTCTAAAATGCCTTATGTATGGGGGTTATCAATATTTAACATAAAAGGAAGCTTTTTCAAAATCTTTGTGTTCATGTTTCTTCTGGTGTGCTGTCTGTGTTATTTTCATCTGAGGACAGGAAGCTCTGACACTCCTTTAGTGCTTCCAAGGCTTCTGCCTGATGGCTTGGAGGTAGAAGTTCCGTTGTAGGCATTGTTCTTATTTTCATTCACTGTATTTTTCCAAATCTCTCACTTTTGCAGAAGCAGCTGGGCAGCTTATAATACTTTTTCTAATTTGTCGTGGGAGTCACACTGAGATGTGTGATTTTAACTCTCAAGTTTTTAAAGGACTTTTTGATAGAAATGGTAGTATTGATCTTGTATTCTGACTGTGAATCCTGATAACCTTCAGTTTGTGACTTCCAGGTCACACTGTCTTAAAAGTTAAATAGACATCTTTCAATATTCTTGTTGACTGTAAGTTTAGTACCTCCCAGATGTATGTTAAATAACGAGAGTTGAAAGGACCCAATGGAAGCTGAGGAAAAAGCTGGAAATACCCGATTTGTTTGATGACATAGTTCTGTAATAAATAGCAGAGGAAACCACCTCTCATTTTCTTCTGTTTTATTATCTTCTGCAACAAAACCCCACACATTTGACCTGTGTTTTATTATTTTTGTAATAAACTGTAATAGAATATTAATTCTGAGTTTACTAAAATTATCCCATATTCTTATATAGTTTATATTCATTGCTTTTTAGTATACTCAGCCCCTCTGCCCTCATTCTCAGTCAAGATCTTACTCCTGAACTCGCTTAATTCACTTAAAGAGCAGATATTTGAAATGCACAGTGATTGCAGCTTTGTGGTGGTTTTGCAGATGTAAACCAAAGATCTAACAAAGTTGGTGATATTGATACTGTGGCTCTTCTGAGATTGTAACCATTAAAAGAATGATTTCTTTCATAATTTTAATGATTCAGTCGTGGGACAAATCTTGTATTTATAATGTGGGCTGTGGTAGGGTTAAGCAGTGAATAGATATAACAAAGTGAATTTCAGAAAGTAACCTAAATGAATCTTTTCTTTCAAAGGAAAACTGATCCACTCCATGGTAGCTCACTTAGATGCAGTTACAAGTTTAGCTGTTGATCCTAATGGATTGTATTTGATGTCTGGCAGTAAGTACATTCCGTTTTCATTTCCTTTTTCTCATAATGGTGGCAGACCTGAGAATTATAAAGAAAACTGTTTCCCCTTTCTTTAGGTCATGACTGTTCGATTCGCTTGTGGAATCTTGAAAGCAAGACCTGTATCCAAGAATTTACTGCTCATCGCAAAAAATTTGACGAGTCCATTCATGATGTGGCATTCCACCCCTCCAAATGTTATATTGCCAGTGCAGGAGCAGATGCCCTGGCTAAAGTGTTTGTATGACAGAGTGCTTCCCTTTCAACTCTAGCTTTGTATATATTTAACCAGCTGCACAAAAGAGAAGAGAAGGGCGTGAGTCTTCTTATCCTGCCCTGTAATTCAGAGAATGTTTGTAAGTGTTTAGTTTTGCAGGGTGCTGTTTTCTAAATTGACGTTTGTTCTGGTTTCTGTGAGCTCAGCTGGTGCTGAGAGCTTGGAAACTCTCAGTTTCAAATAGTTAAAAAACAAAAGAAATGCTTTTATTTCAGAGGGTGTGAATTTTCGTCCAGGCAGGCCTTGGGTGAAACTAGGTCTATGTATTCTTTGTTAATAAAATGGAGTACTGGAAAGAAGGGGTCTAATTGCATCAGGGAGTAGGAAAAGAGGGAAGCTTCCTGGGATACTTCTCACTGAGGAATCTTAATGTACTTAAAATTGAATCACCTGGAAAAAGTGTCAGTTCACATGCTCATTGGTGTGTCATGTGAGAGGCACTTTGTCATCCCTTTGGTATAAATAAAGGAATCTTGTTCAGAAAGCAGTAGTGGATAGTTAGTCTCAGCCACCTGGCTGCTAGCCTAAGATAAATGCAGTTAAAGGAAAGCAAATTACTAACATAAATAAAAATGCAGTAACGTTTTTGTTACATCTTCTGTGTTATACCTTAAATATTTAGTTTGCAAAAAAATTTATAAATTTTTTTTAAAGACTGTATTGGCATGTGGCTAGAAGCTGAGCCTTTAGTCTAGTCCCAATTAACAACAGACTGAAGCAGTCTGTATATACTGTAGTAGCAGACTTAACTTATTCAGATTTATAATGCTGTTTATTCTTGGAGATCTGGCACAAGAAATTATTACAAAGCTTTCTAAAGAAGCTGTTCTGCAATTTAACTATCAAACATTCATCTCTGCTTTCTGTTCCTGCTAAAAAGGGTATCATTCTGGGCATTAAGGATAACAGTGAAATACTTCTTTTGAAGATTAAATGTATACCTGATGCTTTGTATGAGTCCTACTACTGCAATAGGTGGGAACTGTACAAAGTTCCATCAACTTGAGAGATTCTGCTATTTCTAGAGGAATTTCCCAGCTTCATCATTTGTGGAACTATTAACTTGTCCACTTCACTGGGTGTATTGTCCCATTGATTAGGTTACCCAAAGAATGAGAACTTCCTGTAGTTACTCAACAGATGTGCTTTGTTTATCTATTCAGAGCGTCTCTGTTGATTTGAATGACAAATAACTTTTAATCTGATCTTTTAGTCTTCGTAGCCTTTCTTGAAGGAAGGTGAGTGGATTCTTTTATATTACATGTCATCATCATCAGAGGTATTACTGCTCACAAGCCTGAAGTTGGTGTTTTCCTCTAATGGGAATGGAAGGCAGAATTTCTGCTGGAGATGATTTCTGGTACTGATGTGAATAGGAAGGAACCTCATGCAATTCTCCCACATACCAGCCTGAGGTTAAGACTGGAAACTGATAAATAAATCTTTACCTTTAAACTGACACTTTTAAAAAAGGAATCATTGAAAGATATCAACATAGGATTTGACTGTGTTGTTTTTAGAGTGGCACTGGGGAATGGGACCACACTTAAAGCTGATCTCAGAGTTGAAATTAACTATATTATTTAGAATAAAAGGTTGACTTGTGCTGTTTGAGCCTGTGACACGTTGTATTTACTGGTAAAATATCCTGGAATACCTTTTATTGCTCAGAATATTCAGATATGTCACTTCATGATATTGATATGCAATATATTTCCATAGATAAGATTAGAACTTCTACCATGAAACAGATGACTACAATAGTAATTCAGATTATTTAGTTTTTATAAAGTGTTTTGGTTATGATGGAAAGGGGGAAACTTGGCTGCAAAACTGAGCATTCAACTTTGTGAGAGTTCTGTGTACTTGACTTGTGTTCTTTCGGTGTCGTTATTTTATTTCTTTTTGAAGAGGAAATTACAAAGATTTATTTGAAAAATTCTAAAAGTTATGTATATTATATATGTGTATATATATTGTAAACATGTATTAAATGTGTCTAGTAAGGGAAGACTCCATGGGTGCATTTTAATGTTTTAGTATTAAGAGTTCTCTTGAGTTTGTGTATACAAAGGATAATGGTGTGAGTATGAAATGAATGTTGTGCTTTTGCTTACACAATACAATATGTAGTTACAGTTGTTTAAATTGCTGTACATAAAACTAATAGGCTGGCATGCTTGTTTTTAAAGACTGTCATTCTGATTACAATTGGAATGTAAGAAGTAGCTGTTCAAATGTGAATTGAGAGATGCTTCCTTCTCACTATTGAGCTCTTGCTCAAACTGAAAAGTGATTTTTCTAAAAGCTGGCAATAGCTAGAGGATGAGGTGCCTTTAAAAAAACAAAACAAAACAAATGTAGCCTTACAAAGAGGTTGTGGAGTTACATATATTTTTGTGCTGGTCTTCATACTAGATGTCAATGTCTTTTTACTGTACTTGCTCACATCCTTGTAGGACTGCAGGGTATTGTGCATGAGCCTGTCAGATCTTCTGAACATCATCGTAGGAGTTAGGGATGAAAAAATTATTTAGGTTATCTAGTCCATCTGCTTGCTAAAGCAGGGTTGTAGACTTGTGCATTTTAAGATTGTCTTGGCCAGTGAGGTCTTATATATGTTCTAAACAATTAGGATTCCATTTGAAGATTATTTCAATGATTACGTCTCACTGACAGGAGGATTTGCATGATGTTTAGTAGTTCTTTTTTGTAACTTCATGCCAGTATTCCAAGCCACATTTGTGCCATTTTACATATTCCTCATCATCTTTGTGATTTGGTTCCTGCATGCACGAATTGGTTCTAGCTGTGTATTTCCATTTCTTTCCATTTTTTTCAAGCTATTTTTTTAGACTACTCTTTTTAAACAACTTTTTCTTGGTTTTGTCTTTTTAGCTCAGTTCTCCATATCTTGGTGCCCACAAAACCATTCCACATGCATGATTTGTTGGACTTGGTCTGAAAGTCATCTAGTAAATGTGGGTTTTGTTTGTGACTTTCCTCTGTAACATGATGCTTTTGTGTAGGAAGACCAAACTTTTGGTCTTCTGGCTAGTGTCTTACAAACCTAAACCATCTATCTTTATTTCTGGCAACTGTTTTAAATAACTCTGAACATTTTTGCTTCTCAAGTTTCTTCTTCATGTTAGGTTGTTATGATTCTTTTGCAGCTAGATACTTAATTCCTGTTTGATCATTATCCTGGGTTTTACAAGCTTTGAACTTCTCATTTTTAGGGCACTAAATCATTTTTACTTTTTCCCTTTTATGTGCAGTTTTTTGTGGTTCAATATAATTGGTATCTTTCTTGAATGTGATACGTGTGTCTATTGAAGTTGTAAAAAAAACCACCCAAAACCCTGGACCTAAGGCTTATTCTTGTAAAAAAGACTTTTTGTGCAACATCAGTGTATGGCATTGTACCATTATGTTTTTCCCATGTCTAATTTACATGGTACATTTTTTAATGGTTAACTCATATAATTTTTGGTGTATGTTAGCCTGTGCTACTGATTTTGGTTTTACTAACTACTTTAATGGGAGAATTTTCAGTCCTTCTGTACGGTGAAAATTGGTCCACTAGGTTTAAATACTCTCATTTTTATTTCTAATTTACTTCACTGTGCTGTTTGCTTTCACATACTTGATTCAGTTACCAAAATGATTTGTAATAGCCTGGAAGAAGCTCTAGATATAATTATATTGTGGAAAACATTGTCTTCACTCTTACAAAATGCTAGTCTCTGCATTTATTTTTGTGCCTCAAAGACAAAATTTTTGACATACAAAGTCAAAGATTTTATTACTTCTAAGAAAATAATCCAATGAATATTTTGGGATCTCATTCATCTTTATTTTGATAAAAATATGTTCTTTAGCAAGAAGCCTGTAGAACTATATGCCATGTACTGTAGGTTATTTTTTAGACCATATGTTTTGAAATAATGTTAGGTTAAAACAGTCCCATATGTAATGTATTTGAGTGTGTGATGTTCACCGTACAGCTTTGTGATTAGGTCATGCCAACACCGTTTTGCAGTTATGAATTCAAACTAACCAGGAACTTGTCCTTTTGAATAAATGTGTAAGAGAGAAAAGGACTTAGCTACACCACCTTTTTTAGTACACCTGTTCGATCACAGATGTGTCCCCTTTCCCCACCTCCTTCTTAACTTTTTACCAATGTAATTTTGGGGAGCAGCAATTTCCATAAACTGATGTGTCATTTGAGCAGTGTTTGATTGGCGGAAGTATTAGTCCATCCCAAAGGAAACAAAAAATCGAAAAGCAGGCGTAACCAGTAAGCAAGTTTTGGATTTTCTTAAAATGCCTTTCAAGATGTTTATTTGAAAGCATTTGCAGGCTGTGGTTTGGCAGTGTCTTTGCAGACTGTCCTAGGGAGCCTACTTGACACTTGAGTTAAATATCTAGTAAAACTTGTAAAAACTAGTAACAAGGGCTGAGTTAAGGAAGAAAATTGCAGCCATTGTAGTTGTCCCTGTGCCTGTACAAGAGACTACATCAGTGTTCTCCTTGGAGTCCTCTTTGCTGAAGCATCAGGTTTGCAATCTGAAACAATATCTGCAGCGTAGGAGTATGTGCAAATGAGATTATTTGTATTTTCACTTTAGAGATCTGTAGGCAGCGGTCATTTGTTTGTGTCTTTCCTCTGTGACACGATGCTTTTGTGTAGGAAGACCACAAGTTTGGTCTTGTGTGCTGAACAGCAAGGGAAGCAGGGAGACCATTTGCTGAACTCTGTAGGGGATAAATAGGTTAAATGGCCAGAACCAATGTACCCTCCATGTGCCTGGTGTCATCGTGGAAGAATCTGCCTGGGAAGAAGTGCAGAGTTTTTCCCGATAGTATCGCAGAGGAAAACATTAAAAGGTTAGATTTAAAAGTTTAGTGAGGCTCTCCCATTCTTCAGATTTATTAATTCATCCACTGTTGCATGTTGTATGAAAGATAAATCTAGTAAATACCCAGATTCCAAGTGAAGCACTGTTGTGTCAAAAGTGGAGATTGTTCAAATTTCAGAATTATGGCACTTTAGATGAGGAGATGACAAGAGATTTGTAATTATTACTTAAATTCTAAGAACAGAATTTACTCTTCTGCTAATATAGTTGTCATGTTGGGGACCCAATTATGCGAAGGTGAGTTCCTCAGACACTGTAGTGGGACTACTCTTTTGCTTCTGCATGAAGATTTATTTAAAAACAAAATTGCAGGACTGAGACTCTGTCTAATGATGTCTGTTAGTATTGAACCAAAGCCACGAAATTTGGGAAGCAGAGTAAAATGTTAGGCTTGTTTCTCATTTTTCTTGCCTTTTTTTTTGCTTAAGCCATTATCTACATATTGGTATCTATTACATACAGTGTCATCTCTGTGACTGACTTCACCGTAAAAAGCCCATTCTGTAAGAAGTACTCCTTCAGTACCTTCTCATACTAATGAGATGTGAATGGGACCAGTGGTTCCAGGCAGTTTGTGACTTAGCGTGTATGTCTTTCAGTTTTCTAATGAGTGAGCTGATAAGATTCATAAAAAGTAATTGTGAAAACATGATGCTGCTTATAATGCAGCATTTAAAAACGTTCTGAAATTTTTGGCTCTTTAGTGGAAATTGTTTTGCATTACACTGTTAAATAAATCAGAATATGAGAGTAAAGCACTTACATATGGTAAATCGGTCTGTATAAGACGTTGCAATCTTTGACATGGTAATTTGGGGTTTCTTGGGTGTCTGCTGATGGTGAGTGTCTTAGGAGTGCTCAGTGTAGCCTTTAGTGTGGAGTGATAGAGAGGAAGCAAAGATTTCCCTGAAAAAACTACTCAGATGTTTCAGGAAGCTTCCTTTTTCCATAAGGACCTGAAGGCATTGAGAATATTTTGTCTAATGTTTAGTTGAAGATGGTTATAATACGTGAGAGTCTGGACTCTTCCCATTGGCAGTGTCTTTAAGCTGAGAGACAGACAACATTACTGAAACGAGTGGCTTGTAAACTGCTAGTCAAAATCCCTGCAATTTTTCTACTGAGCAGCAGAGAAACTGACGAAAACCACAGTGTTAATCCATCCAGTTATATGGGGGGTGTTTTAGAAGAAATAATCTCTATTGCAAAAGATAGAATTACGTACAACAGAGGAAAGAAACAAACACCTGGGTGGGGGGGAACGGGGCAACTAGGGTGACCTTTATGTAAATAGTCCTTGCTCAGGCACGTGCTCTTGTTCCGCTGGTGGGACAAATGCCAGGAGGGAGAATGGTGGGAAGTAAGACCTTTAAATGCTGTCTCTGCCTGTGCTAATGAATATACCTGTTGTGCAGGTTATCTGTCCTTTTGATATCTGTTAATTATTTTCCCACTTAAATCCTCCTTTAGGCTGTATTTTCTGAGAATCTTAGAATCTCATCTGCAGTGGAGTCTCATTGCAGGGTAAATTCCATAAAGGACTATTGATTTTTTTTCTTAGAGTGTCCTTTGAAGGGTAATGGGGTTTCATCTTCAGCCCTACACCACCACCACCAAAAGTGTGATTTGTACCTCCTTATTTCCAGTTCATTTAATTCTACTGAGTTGTCTCTTGCCCTACCTGCTGACTTAATTTTCTGCTCTGTAGTTTATTGTGAAAACTTATGAAGTGCTGTATCATTGAAGAGTTTTTGAGCATCTGAATTCCACTACAGAAGGTGCAAATCCAGTTGAATAGTACAATCTGTGGGGATCAACTGGTCCATTGTCAGGAGAGGTGTGTTGCTAGATTCCAAAATCCAAATTATGCTGAGCTAAAAAAGCGTTTAATAATAATATGCTTTTTAGCCCAACTGGCTTCCTGGTTAAGTCTGGGTTGTGGCATTGTGTGTTAAACTAGTTTCACCCTACTCGTGCTGCCGTGCCCTGCTGGGATCCTAGGAGATCACGCTCACGTTTAAGCCATGCCTGCGCATGTGTATTTTAAGCTGCTCCAAGCCTTGTGTTGACATGGTCTGCAAGCCCAGTCTACTTTCATTCCCTCAGTTTGAATTGCAGGCTCCCAAAATTACTTCCTTGCTATTTCAAGAAACCCTTGGTCCTCACACCAGAGTATTAGACCGGGACGTTGAGAAAAGATTTATGCAGCTGGATTCGTACTATTCTGAAAGGGAAGGGATAACTTGTTGCCAAGCCAAATAGTTTCATTATTTTTGGATTACTTACTAAAAGCAGCCAAAAACATTGTATAAGGGAAAACTATGGACTTCAAGCTAATATTTTTCCATTAAGAATTTATTTTTTTATTCTTCCTGTCATCAAGATATAGTGCTTTCTGAATGTAGCTTGTTTTCAGATGTACAGTTCTTAGAATTGTTTCCTTGCAGTCAGACATTTACAAACACACATAGCTTTTTGAAAACCATCTCATATGTGTTAGCACTTTTTCTGGAAATGCAAACTGAGCATGTTAGCTACTAATTTCTTGTACCTTCATAGCCCAAGCAGACTGAAAAGCAGTCGTTTGCTATGTTTTCCTTGAATCATGCATCTGAAAAAACTTGTAGAAGAAAATCCATGATGAGAAGACTATTGTTGCTGTAAGACTTTTCTGTTGACGTTTGTCAGCATATCAACTACCTGCATTGTATTTTGTCTAAATATCTCCAACTGATTTCTTTTAAAAGAAACTGTCAGGTTAAAAAAGACAGTTTTCTTTGCCTTATGAACCATAGTTTGGATTTGTTGTTATTTATATTAATATACCTTTTTTTTTTTTTTTTCCTCTCTACAAGAATAACTATTGAACTTAGAATTACCTGACAGTTCTCTTGTGGAGAAGATACCACAGGTGATAACCACTTAAATGTTAGTAATTACAGTTGCTCCTCTTCTGTTTTGGGTCATTTCCATGACAGATAGTTGATATGAAAAGGCTACTGTGACTGATAAATAAACAGCTGAAGGAAGCTAAGACTCCCCTTCAGAACTACGCTGAGGTTATGATTTTGCACGCCAGTTTTGAATGACTACTTTGAAATAATGTTGGGCTTCAAGTGTCTTGAGAAGTGGTGGATCCAAATGAGAAATGCCTATTTGTTGATAGTCTGCTTCTCAGTTTGTGTATGGCTCAGTACAAGGCTGTTTTAGAATTTCGGTGCCACCAAATGACCTTGTTTAAATGCTACTGTCATACAAAAGTGAATGCTAATTTAAATGAGATTTTCTGTTCTCTAACTTGGGAAGGAAGTAGTTTTCTTGGGATTAAGGATCCATAAATTTCACATGTTTGATGATTTCAGAAAGGCTTCTTAATCATGGGACATAAGAAAACTGAAAAAGTGATTTGTCTTCCAAAGATTTAATAAGCGTTTATTATAAAAAGTAGAAAATTTTGCTTTAAATGAAAGTGCTTCTTCAAACACTTAATATTAAACTTCTTACTAAAATTCTGTATTTTATAATCCTGGATGAATATCTAAAATGGCAAATACAGAAAATTCAGAGGGAAATTATTTTGAAATACACTAGTATATTTTTGATCTTCCCAGTTGCAGCCCTGGATTTTCTCTTTTTCACTGCAATTCGTATTTTGTGAAACTTCTTGGACAGGTTATATTTAAAGCTACGTTCACTTGCCTGAATAAGCCAAGTAAATATTTTGCCATTGAAACGATATAGATGTGCTTCTGTGAGTGTGCCGTTTGAAACGAGAGCAGAGGGAGGTGGTGGCGCAGGTGTTTGTATGGCAGTGGTGAGGTGGGGTGGCCATGTGCTGTGCTGAGCGAAATCACATGGACTTCCAGAAATAAGCAATGGTTTTTCAGAGCAGCTTTATTTAATGTTACAGCAGCAAGTGTCATTTGTACCATATAATTATGTAAATTGGGTGCTAATAAATACTATTTTTCAACAATTTGTATTGTGTTCGTAATTCTGCGTCTCATGGCAAGATGCTGGTCTCTGGGTGTGCGCTGGGAGGGGGAAGTACTCTTGGACTAGGACGAGTAGACACGGGTTTGGAGGAGCATGAGGGAAAGTCCTGTGAACTTCCTCTTGAACTGTGCAAGGTGTCAGCATTCACAGAAGTGTCTCAGATTTTCCGTTCTCCAGGTGTCTTAGTTTTGTACTGCTCTGCCACCTTGGCACTGTTGGCACCCTCCGTCTTTCCATGCACTTAGGCACAGGGTCCCCAGTGTCTTCGTGGGGAGGAACGGATGCGTGGAGCGGGCAGGGTGCCCTTGTGCAGGAGCTGGTCTGTCAGCAGCGCAGTGATGGCAGAGAGACCTGGTGCCCTTCCCGGGGAGAACGTGCTTTTAAAGAAAAACAAGCCCGTGGTTCTGCCCTCGGAGAGAGGATGAGGGAGAGCAACCACACATCACAGATGGCAGTGGCGTTGCTACGGGAAGACGCTCAGAACGGCACTGCTGAGGGGGTGGTATGGGAACCTACACAGAACTGAGCAGAACGACTTGTTAGTGAGTCCATCCTGTTTTTTCTAAGCTTGTAGGTGGGTTAAGCGAAGTTCTCATCTTCTCTCCATAGTAGGTAAAATAACCCTTCTGTTTTAGTCCTACTTGTCTTCCCTCCTCATAGAAAAGGAGGAATTGCTTTATGAAATGACAGTGCAGTTGCCTTCACCCCAGTGTTCTGCCTCCAGAGAGGGTCAGTAGAAAATTCCTGAGGCAGGGAGAAAGATTATTTCACAATCAACATAGGAGTGACGCTCCCACAGGGGAGGCCTTCCTGACATCCTTACGGGTTTGCCTATGAACAAGACACGTCCCCATAATGATTTGTGTGAGAGAAGTGAGCAGAATTTCTTTTGGCCATATGGTGAAACTCTTAACTACTGTTCTTTGTGCTTTAAAAGAAGTCTTTTCTGTGAGTGAGTGTTGGAGTTACTGAGCTGTGTTACTAGAGTTTTTATTAGAAATCAGAAAAGGGGTTAAACGTGTTAAGAAAAATACCACTTGTGTCTTGCCCTTCAGTATGACTGACAGCTGATGGTGAGTGATGCAGCTGATGCAGTCCTGAAGCCTGTGATACCCTGCAGCTTAGTTTTTAATGAGGGAAAAAACCCAACAAAACAACAAACTTCTTTGAAGAATTTGAGGCACTTGGCTGTATAGACAATGTTTTTGCAATGTTTTCAATATGTAAGTAATTTAGGAAATGCAGATTGTCTGGTCTAAGACTTTCCAAATTCAGATGGGAATGGAAAAGGGTTCAATTTGTTTCTGTAGTGTTGCTTGCTGATGGGCAGAGAAAAATAACTAGAAGAATGATGGAGAAAGAGTGACTTTGCTCAACCATGAAGTAATGTAAGGTACGTGTACCACGGGAGACTGACTTAGTGTTTAGTGTCTATGTAATATTTCTGATATTAACTGCTTGCTTTGCCTTGCCAAGTAGCTAACGTGGATAATTATCAATGGCATACAGGGAGGGTGTTTAATCCACTAAAGACATTTAGATTGGGTTGGTCCTGTCTGGATGCTTTACTCCAGAGCTCTCCCTGGTTACCGGAGCGGTTCCCCTCCTGTGCTGGAGAGCTGTGGGGGGAGGAACGTGAGGAAGAAGGGGAAGCTCATCTGCCCGCCTGTCAGAAAAGCAAAACTCAGCAGCTGCCGTGGGGAAGGCCTCTTCTTGCTGAACCAGGAAAGCAGCTGCAACTGAGGAGCAAGAAGGCGCGCAGAGCAGGTGCTACCCTCTGTGCAGGGTGGCACAGTGACAGCAGAGGCACTGAGTGTCCCACCTCTGGACCAGCAAGGTAAGGTACTGCTGGGAAACAGGGCTTTGAGTTACTCTCTCTGAAGAGATGGTTGGACTTTGAATTTAATTTGGTTGTTCACTCAGAATGTGGGTAGCTAATGCTGGAGTTAGAGGCAAAGAAGTGCTGTCACTGGGCTTTCCCAAGGCTTCCAGAGCATGGACATCAGTGGTTATTTTCGGGTGGGTGTTGTGTGCCATGGTTGCTGAGCAGTGCTAGGCCATCAGCCCAACTCTTGGGTGCAAAGGTGCTCCTTTCCTAGAGAGAGGGTGACCGGACAACCCCCTTTTGGCTGTGTCTCCAGTGACTAGTTCAGACAGCTCCTAGTTCTGCCTGCCTCCAAGTCCAACCCTTTGGTGCCCTTCTCTTTTGGATGCCTCAGCCACCCGGCAGGTTCCACCACACTGGTCAGGCATCTGAAACTTGGTGGCCCAGCATCAAGCATCCGGACATCTAGATCCTCTTTTTATTCACCCCTGTGTCTAGAAAGTGTGTAGAGACTGTGTTAATTTCTTTCAGCTTCCAAAAGAAGTCTGGTTCCAAATAAGATGTGATCTTAACAGACTTGGAAAAGTACATATGATTTTGGTGCCTTTCAGCCATTGGACTGCTTCATGGACACCTTTCTCTGATAGGTAATTTGGTGGTTCTTCCTCTGCTAACTCACTCTTGGGCCTTTTTCAGCTGAGCATGTAGAAGAAGGGCATTGAAACACCTGGGGCTTCACCAACCTTGCTTGGTCTTCCCCAATCTAATAAGAACCTCAGCTGCGTTTCAGAAACTAAAATGGCATGGACCTTACTTGGTGTTTATTTGTAACCACATACGAGACATGTACTACATATGCCTTTGGGACAATTTTATTGCAAAAGATACAGCAACTTGTATTCATAAGCACAAAATAGCTTGTATATGTTACAGAAGGAGTTCTGCTGCTTTCTTCAAACAAATGTACCCCCTTGAACATTTATGAAGATTTATATGTAAGTTATCTTGGTTTTTAATAAAACAATATTTAGAAACTTTAGTAGATGGCAAGTATTTTGGTTATTAGGAAATGTAAAGGTTAAGAGGAGAATGTTCTGTGCTGATCCACTTTTTTTTAATGGAAGAGTGTATTCTTACAAGTTTTAAGGCTTACGCTTAAGTTTACAGTGTTTATGAATAGGACATCTAAGTTTAGATGAGAGTTGGATTAAATGACACGATGAGATCCAACATTTTCAAGGTCATCCTGAGAAGTTAATAAAAAGGCACATAGGCAACCTTAGTTGTTTTGTAAACTTAAGAAAAACCACTTAAACAGCAGCAAACCCTGAAGTGCCCTTTGTAGTGCTTGGCACAGAAGACAGCTGTGCAGCTTCCCTGTGGGAGAGCATTTGAATGCTGTGGTTGCTTGAAGTTTATGCTTTTGGAAGAAGTTAAAATGTACATCCTGAAGAATATGTGTGGCTCTAACTGTTCCTAATGTGTCGGCTGTCTGTGCTGTGCTTTCAGCAGAGCACAAGCAAAACATTTGGGAGTCTCTGCAAAGTGCACTCTTCCATACTGCAGGAGTACGACTGGTACGGAAAACAATATGTGGTGGTAAGCTGTTGCATTAAAAATTAAACCACAATATTAAGAGTAGCTAAAAGTTAAGACTTAGGCCTTTATCTCAGCTGGCCCCAAATGAAACCCTAAGCAAACAGGTTTTCAGACAATAAATCTGATGTCTGAAGTCCCCAGTAAATTCAGTTTATGCATTTGCTTTGTCCAGCCTGTGTAATGTCCTTTGTTGACAGAGAAAGATGCTTTCAGCAGAACAGTAGTGAGGGAGGTGGGTCAGGAAATGTGGGGCATCAGGGGTTGCTCTGCTTCTACCTAACTCCCTATGCTCAATCTTTACTTTTTTTCAAGCTAAGAGGCTATTGCTTTGGAAGTGCAGCAGCACAGATTAAAGTTAAAAAGTCTGCATGCAAATTTATTTTATGTCTTTGTTTTGCATTTTTGGAAGCTGGTGGTGCTCCGCACCTTCTGTCTGGGTAGTGTGATTGTATTGATGATGCAATAGTTAAAGCTGGAGCTGAATGTTTCTTCTAAGAGGAAGATCAGAACCTTCCCTCTGTAAAACTGCTGTTTAATCCAGGATTGGTTTTGATAACCTCTTGAGAGGACCCCAGCCTGTCTTATGTTACCACACCACGGAGCTCATGCAGAATCTGCCGTTCTCATTAGTTTGCATTATGCTTGCTTAATTGGTAATTTTTGAGCTACTTCGGTCATATTTCCAAACATAATGATTTAAGAGATTGTGCTACTTTTGTTGACAGAAAGGAACCTCCCTTATGGCAATTTAGTTCAATTAACATTTAAATGTGAATAATAAACATCCCAGGTCATGGTTATTGAAACTATAAATGCTATTAAAAGCCTGGTTTGTGAGTAAGATCTGAAATTTGAGTTTTAATTTCTTCCCATTTCCTGTTAGCCCCTCAAGCCTGATGCTTTGTGTGTGGCTTTGATTGCCATAAAGTACATGAACAAACACCGTTTATTGACTCTGAAACTCCATCCCTTTCTTTCAATAACTTTGCTTAATGAACGTGTTTTCTTAAACTGTACTGGATGGAAACATAACCAGCAGCTGCTGCTTGCTAATTAAAGGGCAATTCTTTTGGCCCTCTTAACGTGTCACTCCTCCCCTGCTGACTAGTGATGTGGTGAGTTCTTCACTTAAGAAACAACCATGTGTTTTGATTAACCCAGGGCTGCAGTAGGTTCATTTTGAAATCAATCCATAAAACAGAAGTCAATCCCAAATTTGGGAGAGGGTGTCTGTAAATGCTTGAAATGATGCTTTTCCCAGTGTATAATACAAAATTCCGGATAATTCCCTCTTAAATCCTGTTAATGGCTCTTGAATAGCTCTCCTCACGCTGGAGACTGCTGTAAGCTTTTCTGAGCTGTGGTTTAACAATAGAGCGGCGGGTCTGAAATGCTTTTCTAATTGCAGGCAACTTAAGGTCACAATTTTTCTCAGAGTCTCCTCTGTCCTGGCAGCTCTCCTGTGGTCCTGCAGGCCTTGAGCTGCACAAGAGCGGAGCAAGAGAGCTAAAGGGACAAGGCACTTCTGAAAATGAAATATTAATGCAGTGCTGTGG